TGTTAACTGCAATTTTAATGATAATAGAGTGATCTGCTAGATAAAAACACAACTAAATATCCAAAGTCTCTCAAAGCTATCTTACGGAGGTTCTTAATTTCAATAAAAATGTTCTTTTTAGAAAACCCACTCGTCAGTGGCATGCAGCTTCTGTCACACCATGCACTCATGAAATAAACGAATATAAACAGAATCGCTTACCCCGGTACCTTTGGAAACAAGTTCTGCAAAATTTTCAGCCACTACGAATTTTTTGTTCAGCTTGTCTTCGCTCCACACTTTAAACAAAGGCATATTCCACGATATAAAAACGACAACAACAGAAAAAACCCACGTGGAATCGACAAGAGCAATGACCCGTGAACGCGGTGCACGTGCTGAATCAAAGAATTGCGAAATCCTTTTGTTTCCGACTGCTGACAGACGTTTTGACATGAAAGTCAAATGCCCCACCGGGCGGGCCTCATTTTGGGTTAAATTCCCCCCTGTATGGAGCTTAACGCGAGTCAAATGCCAGGAGATTGGCCGGGGGGGGGGGGGGGGGGGGGGGGGGGGGGGGCATGGGCGGTTGTGGAATTGACTGGTACATTACATTTGAAGCATAGTTTTGAGTTAGCGGTACCTGCTTGTACGAATATGTTTTTGGCGCTCTTGCTAGCCTACTGTATATTGGGCAGACTTAAAGACTTTTAGTTTGTTCTCCACTTGTTTCTCAATAACCTTACCTTTTGTCATCATGCTTACAGTAAAAACATATCCTGTCCACTGTCTATAATTCCTGGGAAAGCTATTTTCCACTGTTTGTTTTATTAGATAGTCACTAATAATGGTTTCCTTTTATAAAAAGCTAGTCTAAGGCCCAGTTCACCAGTCCTGCTTCTGTCATGTCCTGCCAAACTTATTTCTTTAACTTAATATATTACAATAATTATATTATTGGGGTGTAGAAAAGAAGGAGAAATTACCATCTTCCCATCATGCATTGTGGTCAAATGGCAGAATCCTAGCATGACTCAAAGTGTCCCTGGGGAGACAACACAAGGGCACAAGAGAGAGGCATGAAATGATTCTTTAGAAATCCAGTATACTCCATAAACTGTATCGTTTGTATGATAGAATTTCACGAGGTAGCAACAGATGCCCTTATCAGGTCTAAGATTTTGTTTGCCATTTAAATTTTTTTATCGAGATTGTTAGACTCAGTGTGTATTACAATAAAAGCTCGCTGATAAACCCTTTGTTGCTATGGGGGCCTGTGAAGAAATAAGTGTTCAATAATACTTCTTAAAAGCTGGCTACATGTTTTGTAGTAAAATATGCATTGAATGTAGAACGTATCAAAGAAGCTGGCTATGAGAAACAAGGAACGTGATGAAAAATATTATATTCTGTGATTAACATGACCAGTAGATATCTTACTGAGCTGGCCTATATGCCAACATGTATGTGTCTTTCGCAGCTTCAAACACTGTTCACCTCCCAACACTACTCTCGTGAAATGTAAAAAAAAGGAAATGGATGCTATTTAATTGGAAACTTGTTGGAAACATTACCAATTGCACTCCCGCAACAGGAACTTGTCTCTAATCATAATAAGATAGCGCCAAAAATACTTTAAGATGAAAATTTTCAGGTAAAATGTGGAGTCGAAAGGACTCGATTGGGTTCTTTAGGATGTTTGAACTAATACTATAATAGCATGGATTTTTGTCTCAATTCTTAATCGACTCCTTGTTTGATTACCAAAATGAATAATTCAACAACACCAGGCATACTACAGATATGCAGAGATGCATGACAAGAGAAAGGTCACACGGAAGAAAACAGGATAATTTAATCAGGAAATCATTCTGTTCTTCTGACGGAAGATGAAGAATTGTGCAAAGACCTACTTTAACTTCATATCTCGTCCTTAAAGTGGCAAAAGTTTCTCCTAAATTGTAGGTAAAATTTATGTTTTCATGATACAGACCAGAAACAATCACCCCGACATGGGTGCAAGGCACTCTGGGAAGATGGTAATATCCTCCTTTGGGTGTGGAAAGGCTCCCCGAAAAACATGGTTATTGGAAAATTTTGGCTCAATCTTAAAATCTTGGAATTGTTTGTGATGGGTCTCAAAGTCTTGTTTTCTGGTGATTTTTCATCTTGCAGTCTCGAACTTTTTAGGTGTCAGTCTGAAATTTCGAAACCAGTGTCTTGCAGTCTCGCAAAGTCATGAATTTACCGTTCTATACCCCTTATAATTATTGAGTTAGACATGCAGAAGCACAATGTGTGAACTGGGCCTAGGTACTTATATGATCCACTATACATTATCTGCATTTTACCCAACAATACATGTAGTTCTTCCAACTGCAAAATATCCAAGGCATCTTACTGTAGGTTCATCTACAAAAGGTAGACCAAAAGTGCTCATTCATTTGAGGGCTTATATTATTGAGGAGCAGCATGATAGAAAGTGGAGAACAGCAAACTTCTTGTTTGACAAACATGACTTGGTTATTACTTGATTGATTGGTTGCAGTCATTGATTCCAGTAATTTGAGGACATTTTTTGTCCTCTTTTTTTTCTTCAGGATTTTGTTTGAATAAAAAGTGTCTGTACGACTTTAAGAACATGACCCGCTTAATACGGACACCTTGTTAGTACAGGCACTTTCTATGACCCCATCAGTGTCCATATTCGGGGTGCAAAGAAAGTCAGTTTTACAGCCTGCCATTCGGGCAAGCTGTAATTAGCATGCACTAGCCCACACGTCATTTCAGCTTACCCCAAAACCCTTTTTGATTAGCGGATTGATTACAATCCTTCTGTAATTTCAATTTCTCCAAAAAACGGCACTTGCCCATCGGGCAACGTAAGAAGAAAAATCACTAGCCCGATAGCAAATTCCACTTTCTTTGCACGCTGGTATTACTGGGGTTTGAGTGTATGTCTAAGTCTTAGACACAATATACTTGTTCTTTTAATGGTCGAAATTCAAGGAATATTATTATTACAATATACCACCTACCAATGGCAGTGAGCTCGTTGTTTTCCTCCTGCTCCATTGTCAGGACTGGTCGGCAACCTGAACCTGTTTTGTCAGCCAGTGATCCACACTCTTTGTACTTTTCAATATTTTTGACACAGTTTGGCGTCTACTCTGAATGCCGTCGCAACAAAGGTCATGAACTATGGCATTGATACTCTTAGCCAAGGACAAAAGCAAAATAATTCTTACAAAATGTAGTTTGATGTAAATTGGTGTTCTTCCCATAATAATTGCAGATGCAAGATTGAATGATTTTCGGAATCTCTTATGGTTAACAGTCTATTATTATGCAAAATTGTTTCATGACTCTTTTAACAATTTTTTGATTGGCGTGAAATACAACAAAAGCTAATATAACAGTCTGTAACTGGTTACTTTCGATCTGAGGGGTGAGTATAAGAACCTGCTCCATTTTATTCGTTTATTCTAACCGATTTTATCTGACAGAAATTTTGCTAAAAGCATTCAAACTTACTCTTACTCAACATGTCTCTACGTGCGGCTCTTAAGGTGCCCAAGTACGGATTGTTCTATTTTAAGTTTGATCGCACAATTAGTGTTGTTCAACTGAGTAAAATTGTTAAAGTGATTAGCGGCAACAATTTCATACAGCATGCAAAGAAAGTGGTGTCTGATAGCCCGGGGCTAGTGGATTTTGCTATCAAGCTAGTGAATTCTGTTTTTAACTTTCTCAATGGGCAAGTGATGTTTTTTGAGGAATTGGAATAACTGAAGAACTATGAAATCAATTCTGCTAGTCAAAAAGTTTTTGGGGCTAGTTGAAATGACATCTGGGCTGGTAAAAATTTAGTGCTAGCTTCAGCTTGCCAGAATGGCAAGCTGTAAAAATGATTTTCTTTGCACCCTGTTCATATCAATTTTTGTTGTTGTTAAATGCAGGCTAGCGCTCTGATTTTGAAAAAATAATTTTGTCATGTACACACAGGAAACGAAAATGTAAGAAAGAGTAAGCAACCCGTATTGCAACGAAGCAACGTAGACATTCATTCATCATCGCGTTATACAGTGTAGTAATATTTTACTTGCCAGCATCAAGCGAGCATTGCAGGCCAGTCCCAATGTATCTCTTGCTATATTTTCAAATTTAAATAAAGTTGAAGTTAAAGTTGAAAGTTGAAGCATTAAGCATAAACATACAATAATTGATATTCTCATATGTCAATTTCTTTTACGCCGATTTTGTTGCTGTTTAATAAAATGTAGGCTCTCATCTTCAAGTCTCTAAAAAATGGCTGGTGTTCTTCTGGCGTATGAATGCATAATAAGTGGAACCCACATCACCGAATTTATCTCGATTTATGTCCTTCATGCGCTTAATTTAACAAGGGATTATTGAGCTACCTCAAACCTAAGAATTTGTTTTGTTCATCATAACAATGCCACACAAGGCAAAGCTGTTACAGTACATAACAGAAGAAAAATCTTTCCCTGCCCGACGCGTTCGTCTGACGCATGTATGTCCATGTGTCTGTGTTGCGTCTGCGTTGTTCCCTTAATTCTGGCCTGCACTGTAGTTTAAAAACTTTGCCTGCTAATTCACAGGTATGCCACTGTAAATAAAAGAATATAAAGATGAAAGTAGATTAGACAAAATAAAAGCTATTTACAATTAAAATTAAGTTATCACACACAATAGTTATTATGAAAAATTATTTACAAAATTGATTTAAAAGACGATTTGTAGATACTAAAAATTAATATTGATTCATTTGCTACATGCATAACAGTCCCATAAATGTTTTAACTAATCGGACAGCACTCTTACGATAATCTTGATACTTTTCAGCTTTCTCATCTTCCTTTTCTCTCACCCATCCCGTCTTTGGAATTGCCACATCTTTTATGAGACATCTCTTATCTCTCCTCTTAACGATTATTATTGTTGTTGTTGTTATTATTATTATTATTATTATTATTATTATTATTATTATTATTAATTTGTTTGCTTTATTATCTGTAGGTGTAGGAGCTCTGAAGTTTCTCCAGGAACCTCAACAATTCCAGGCATCTCATGTTGGCTGGAGCGTTGACTACAACTGCACAACAGATGACCCAAATGCCACAGTGTCACTTCTACAGTCTAAAAATTTTGGGAGTTCTTATAATGTGTTTCCAGTCACACCAAACAAACTTCTTTTGACAGAACAAGTGTTCAGCATAGTAAACCTTGTTCTTTCGGATGGCGGATACTATAAATGCAAGGCAACGGACCAGTCAGGTCAAACTATTCAATGGGACATAGATTCAACTTTATATGTACTATCAGGTCTGTAAGAATATTCGGAGTGAATAGGCACTCATGTAAATCATGTAGTTAAAACCCCCAGGGGGGACTCCCTGTAATGGCTTATGCAGAGAAGCTCCACCTGAAGAGCGTACCTTTTTAAAAAATTAATAATTTTCTAATTTGCTATGGTGGCGCTTTACATTCTCTACGTAACAGTTAAAATTTATAAAATGTATCTGTGATACATAACGTGATAAAAAGAAAAAAATGCTAACAAAGATACATAAATAAATGACAGTAAAATAAAATAATATTTAAAACTACCTAAAAGCTAATCTAAAAAGACAGGATCTGAAATTGTGACCAGCTGGTCGCCAATGCAACTGAAACTTTACATTTGTTGTAGTGTTGGTGATATACGGTATTTTTTTGAAAAATTCTGAACTTTTAAAGGCTCGGGAAATTATAATTAATTTAGACAGAACGTGCATGAAATTAGTTCCTAACTTCACTTGTCACCGTATGATTACCTACTTAATCATAACTATAACAAATTGTCAAGACTGATTGGCTATCAACTGCCCTGATTTCAGCCTTAATTTGACAGTTTAATAGGACAGTACGCGTCATGCCTAAGTAATTGGACAGTACGTGCCATCACTTACGCGCTTAAATGGCTTTTTTTTTCACTGCGAGCAAAACAAAATTTTGAATTTCTTGTGTTTTGATTTAAAAAATAGCCTATTATATCACAGATTTTGTTAAAGTTATGATTAATTGGTGACAGAACTTCGTGTCGTCTAATTTGGTCTGTAATCATACTTGTGATTAAACAAATCGGACTCCTGCTACGTGGTGGTCCGATTTTGTTAATCACTCTTATGATTACAGACCGAATTGGACTCCACTCAGTCCTGTTACCATTACTAATCACATTTTAAAGACAGTACATTTTCAGCAGTTAAAGGGACTGGTTCACGAGAATGCGCATGTGTGAGTTCTGACAGTAGCTGATTGCTTTTAAACCAATCGGAAGCGAGTTAGATGCACGCAAGTGAATTTACAAAGTTCAAATTCATTGTTCACAACGCGAGAGTATTTCTGGGCATTTGGTTTGATTTTATATATCCCCATAATTTAAGTTTATTCTTTTCTACTCCTCAGATATATGTTGCAGCCGATAAGAATAAGATTTACAGCCCTGTCCTGCTTTGACACAAACATTTACCAACATGTATTTTTACGAGGTCGTACCCACGCTAACAAAGCAGTCACTGATCGGCAAACAAAAATTAATTTGTAAACAAACATCTTATTACTGTTCTCTCAGTGCGCCTTATATAAACCCAGAAATACCTACAAAATTAATAGTGCCTGACCGGTGACAAAAACACACAACATATGAGTATAAAGATTATCCTTAATTGAGCATAAATTTCAATTGCTTATCAGCAAATGAACAAAATAATTCATTTGCATTGCATCGGGTCAGTGTTCCGCAAAACAAATGTTATTGAGTAGAACACATAAAGAAACTAGATTATAAACAGAATGTTCAGGCAATAATTTATTTTAAAAACATCAATTCTTAAACATATATGATCGTAAAGCAAAGATACAAGGAACATTTCGAATGTATTAGATCGGTGAAGATCGTGCGGCCTGTTGCGGTATAACTACAGGTCGGAGTCAAAAATCAAATCAAAGTTGAACGAACTCATGCCTTTAACCACTTTCCAAGTGCCGTGTATTCTTTTCATAAGCCACACACTTCTCCTAGAACCATACCAGATCGATCGGCTAAGCTTCTCTATCTCCAAAGACTCTTGAGAAGGTCCTGTTGCCGGACTGCCACGATGCTCTTCTGAACCTCCCTGATCAAAACATTATTTTTTGCATCTTCTTAAAACGTAACCAGTCAAACAACACAACCACACGTTAATCACCACAAACCAAAGTATAACTAGGCCAGCCAAAGCGATGGATGTCGGAATAAAACGAAGGATTTTCAATGATTGTACCAGTAATGGTGATATCCAATTTAGTTTTGACCCGACAAATTTATTCTGAAGAGACAAACAGCAGGCATGCGCATAACCGTGATCACGTCCCTTTAAAAGAAGTTCTAAACTTGGTACAGGTATGTAAAAGGCCTAGGGGTACCATTAATTTTTGTCAATAGAAGGTATTCTAAAGGGGTACCTTTTCTATCAAAAATGGTAAGGGGTTGGACCTAGGGGTGGAGCCTCCCCATGGAACACCTTTTTGACTATGATTACCCACCTCCTGCCCCTGCTCCCTTCCCCCCTCACCACTTGGTGTTCTGAAGCAAAAAGTGCCTTGAACACCGCCCATTTCAAAATGGTGGCATTTTTCTGATAAAATGTGGTTTTTACATTTACATTCAACAATCTTTTAATGCTTTTCAACCAGCAAATGAACCAGTAAATGACGTAAATTAGTGGTATTTTACAAGTGCTCGAGTATATGCAAACTGAAAAAGATTAGCTTTTCCTTTTATTTGTTGCTTTTGTTGATGTTGAATCATGTCAAGGAAAGTATTTTTCTTTGCAAGGGACATGAGTAATTTTTTTAATTTAAAAGTGATGAACTATTTGTCAACTTGCAACACATCAAATTACATAAAGAGCAAATTAAATATTTGGCTTTTACTTTTAAATGATCAAAATAAGAATTCGCAACATCCGCTGAAACCACTCAGAATTCTGGCAAGACTCTTGTCTTTCATGAACAAGGCTTTCCCGATCCAAGACTCTTGCTCTGCTGGCAAAAGTCTCAAGTTATTTGTAAATCTGAGGCCATTTCCTTAGACAAGTATAAGGTGATTTGATGTGAAAAAGTGAACCACTGGCTCCTATTGAAAACCCTGTTTAAGCAGACCCTTAACCAAGGGAATATCAAACATAAGCTCATACATGTAAACTGTTCTTCTTATACATGTACATTTGTATCATTTTCTGAAAATTTGACCCATGTTAATTAGCAGATATCTCTCAGATGCTTAGTGACATTCTGATGGGTGTCCCAAGCTTCCGTCATCTTAGTTGACTGGGAGGGTGTGACACTATTTCCATGAAAATGCATTCCTTCCCATTTTCCCAATGTATACTTCACTGCATTCACAAGGAATCTTATATGCTACTCCATCTTGTTAAACTTTTGTAAGTACATTGTATAGCTGTAAACACAACATAAATAACTTCAGACCTGATTTGAGTATCCCTGTTATATTTTCAGACTTTTTGTTAAACCCTGGAATAAGTTATGACAATATTATTTTGCAGAAACTACGGTACACTGTATGTATTGAAGCCAGCTTGTTAAGTACTGCACATATTTTTTGCAGCTAAGTTACCCAGGCATTTTGTGTTTAAACCAAACCAATCAATCTATGTGCTGCAAGGGCAGAGTGGAGAAGTCACATGTGAAGCTGAGGGCCCTTCAGTTTCTACCCTGAAGTGGGAAAAGGAACAGGATGATAAATCATATGCAGCCGTCTCCAACAGCCAAGTTAACATCACTAAAGATTCAAACTATGTGAGAGCAACCCTAAAGATTACAAATGCCCAGTTTGCGGACACTGGTACATACAAATGCACAGTATCAGTTCCACCAAATCTATCAGATTATAAGCTGACAAAGATAGAAGTCAAGGGTACGTTTGTACTCTATTTCATTGTAAAGATTACTTTTACTGTTAGTATCTCATCATTTCTGCAGTACATGGCCCAGCAGCCAGCATATTAGACACACAAATACGGTTTATCCCCAGTCCATGTCCTGCTCTGACTTGCTGAATTTGTTTTGGTCTTCCCAACATCAATTCCTTGGCCACGCTTGTTATTATCCAGCTGGTTGCTTCCTGCCAGTTGGGGTTTTCAATTCTGTTATGTTCTATTTGGGTTATTATTTTGTTTCTAATTAAGTTAAGAGTGGAGTGCCTGTAAACTAGCTGGACTTCCACTGTGAAAGCAAACCAAAAAAACAGTATTAACTGCACATCAACAATGTACATGCACAGTATATCACTTATGCAATGGACAAAAACTGGTGAATGCCCATATGATGGTCTGATGATGACTGAGTTGTGGCATTTGATGTGGATGACAGTTCTGCTCTGTACAAAACAATAGTAATATTTTGTCAGACATATTATTTGTTATTGTGTAGGCTACAGCTGATTGTCACTGAGTATTAATCTATGTAAAATCTGTTTCATTCACACATTTAGGTCCTTCAGCACCTAAGATTAGTCCCTACACAAAGCAAACAGAAATACTAGAGGGATCCACCAAGGCTATCAAGTGTGTAGCAGAGGGATTTCCAAAGCCAATGGTAGATTGGTACAGAAATGGCAAGAAAATGAATGTCACCAACTGCCGTACAGAATCTCAGAGTTGTGATCAAGTTGTGTATGAGGTTTATGAAGAAGGAGATGGTTCTTCTGGACTTCATACTATTTACACAGTTCAAGTTCTCAAAATAAGAAGTGCACTATATCCAAGAGATGTTGGTGATTTTAAGTGTGTTGCATCAAATGGAGCTTCACCAGATGCTGAGTTGATTGTCAGCTTGGATGTTCAAGGTACTTAAGCAAAGGAATACCTTTATACTGTGTGTAACCAGTAATTTGCATAATTAAACATGTGTAATTTTTTTACCCCATTTACAAATGATTTGGTCAGAGCCAACATTTAGAGCCTTACCCGTACGAAATGCGCAGCGCTGCAGAATGGCTTCAAGAAGCGCTGCAGAATAGCTGCAAAGAGGCTGGCTGCAGCAGTCGCAAATTTTGGCTGTTCGGGGAAGCGCTATGAAGCCGTTTGAAAGCGATAAGCAGCGGTTTAGCAGCGGTGGAAAGGACACACAAAAATGCTGTCAGTGCTGCCAAATAGCTGCAGACATGTACAAAAATTCAAAGAATTATGGCATTTGCCTGATTCGATAATGCGGTTTGGCAATTTAGTGCCATCACGCAACGCAGTCCGGAAACCGGCTTATTTAGTAGCAGAGTAAAAACCACTAGAAAGTCAAAATGCAACTTATACTTTATTAGTATCCACGCGTACACGTTACAAAAGCACGTGACATAGAACAAATCTGCAACAGTCTCGCTTTGTAAATATTTAGCAATCACGGTCACTCATCTGAATGTAAGACCATCATTAACATGCAGACATTGAAAATTATCTTTTTTAAAAATAAAGAGAATAACATCGATTGTTCTACATAAAGTTTACACGGCCATTAGGCAAATGATATTTTGATTCCTTGCAACGGGTTAAGCGGGACATTGGTCACCTTGACGTTTCGTCCATGATCCACGATCTTCTACACTTTTTTCATGAAAGAAATCAACCCAATTTTACTTTGGTCGTCGTTAAATTTTACAATGGACTAAGGAACGAACATTACCACGAGCGTATAAGAATCTTGTAAGTGTGAACCCCTGCTGAGATTCTTGTATCTGTGTTGCTTGCTCTGGTTCAATTCGTCGATACTTAGCGTAGAAGTCACTGTTCAGTGCATTGTTTGCAAATACATTTGAGCTGTTCCATCCAAAAACTTCAACAGAACTTCCATCTCGAAACAGAACTAGATGCAAAAAAACTTAGAATGTTTGCGCCTTTCATTCAACGGTCGCAAATGTTCTGTGTTTGTCTAGAGCTGTAATGGGATCTCATGCAAAAGGACCGACCAATTAGATTACGGCCTAGAATGTCTCCAGGGAATTAGCGATAACATTCCCACACTGAATGAAATTTATTGAAATCCTTATTCCGAAAGCATAGGATTTGGAGGTTTATTCAATAAGTGATCTTCTTTGCGCACAAGCTTACTCACATTTCTTAGAGGTACAGTCAAAGTTTTCGCGTTATAAAAGCCGTAATCTGTGCCAAGGCTTTATCTGGCGATTCATGTTATTGGCGCTCAAGAAAGTCAGATCGACCGCAGCTGAATTGTAGCGTTACTGCAGCTACTTCGCAGCGTTTGAAAGTCGGCAACTGCGCTGCAAAACCGCTGCCGAGAGCTTCAAAGAGCCTTCAAAGGCTGCACAGCGCTTTTACATCCCGCTGCAACTTGAATGAAGCTGCTGTTTGGCTTCTAAAAGGCTGCTGAACAGCTGTAATTTAGCTGTACAGCGATTTTGTGGCGATTTTTGTAGCGATTTTGTGGCGCTGTACAGCGCTGCAAGTTTCGTACGGGTAGTTCCATTGTACAGCTGTACCAATTTATTGTGATCATATGTAAGTAATTTTAAATGTTAAAGACATCTTTGATGCACAACTCATTGGGAGCACCTGTGAACTATTCAATCAAATCAGGCCAGAATTGATATTAATCCTTCTCTGTACATAACTGCTCTCTTTTGAACGTTTGGAAATATTGTTACAAAATGTACCTTCCTATGCATTTATTTTTTTACCCAAATTTTTCATCCAGGAGTGAAACCTGGTGAAAGCATAGAAAAAAATTGTAAGCACTTATGTCACTCGTACACTGTAGGATTCACAGTGTAGAGTACAAACTTAAATTCTGAGTGCAAACCTGTGTTCTAAGTTGAGAAAGGCAAGGAACTAATTTGAAGGGGGTGGGGGTGGGGGTGTGAGAGGCTTATTTGCAGGGGGGTGCTTATTAACTTACAGTTAAAATGTAATAAACATTGTCTTCCTCTCAAACAAACACATCTGTACAGCTGTAAACAGAGCACAAACACATATCTCTAAGAAAAAAAAAACAAGTATGGTCTTACTGATGGCATTAAGGTCCTAAAAGTTCTAGTGTTGAAATGCTCTTTCTCTCCTTCTTTGTACTGGATATTCAGTCACATTTTCTTTCTTGGAGAAGGGTTGTTCGGTAAGAAACTCTTGACAACAAGATCCAATTTAGCAGATTATACATGTATGTTAAATCAGAGGTTGATGAAAGATTGTTAACATCAGATTACATTGTTAAAATTTTACAACCTTGTTTTCAATATAAGACGTGCAGTCTACCCCATGAGCATCGCATCATGTCAGCTCATTTAACCCTTTGACTCCTGAGTTTTTCTGTCATATTGCTTCAGTTTTGACATACATACACTAAATAACATCTCACAAGTTCCCTTTGAGGTAAAAGTGCCTATAATCGTACATATTTAGAAAGTAGACATATCAGGGTTTCAAAATATATATATGTATTAACTTAACGTTTGTTTGGAGAGCTGTTTGCCTTTAGCAATCTCGTACAGTTGACAGTGTACATTTTGTGGCCACCGAAGCGCTCGCTTGCTCTCTTTCTTCGACATTTTCTTGACCACTACAGCGTGTATCTGCGTGCTCAAGCTCTGAATTGTTGCCAGTATCTTCGTCCATTTAATCGGACCAATCTTCACCTAACCTGAATCATCACTAAAATCCGGTGCTGCGAATATAGTTCGATCAACTCCATTCATGCCTGACGCCATTTTTAAAGGTTATTAGCACAGCGAGGAAATATTGCCAAAAAGTAAGTCCAAAATGGCGAAAAACCGAATGAAATGGAATCATACGATAAACAACTTCATATACGAAACATAAAGTGTCATTTGACAAACTATGGAGCCTTTCGGAGCCTTTTTCGGGACAAAATGTACACCTTATTTGGAAGCGCGCCAAAAAGCGCGCTCAGGAGTCAAAGGGTTAAGGATACCGTAAATCCTCTATTAAGCCCCCCAGGGGGTTTATTTTTCTGAAGCACTTTTGAGGGGGGCTTAATAGAGGGGGGGGGGGCACTTATTTAATTTAGCGAAATGCATCAATGGGAGGAAGGTTTCTTGAGGATGGACAACAATAGGGAAATGGTAACAATTCTCCACAGAGAATTAGAGCATAAAGTTGAAAAAGTTCAGCACATGAAGTTTGAGGTCATGTGGCCAAAGACCAAAAGCAATATGAATTTCCAGCCTGAATAAACCATTACTGATCAGTCCACGTTAATTGTTTGTGAAGAATAAGGATGGAGGGGGGAGGGGAGGGGGGGACTTAATAACTTTTCTTCTCTGCAAAGGGGGGGGCTCATTAGAAAGGGGGCGCTTAATAGAGGATTTAGTGACATGAACTAGGTATCAACTAACAATCTTAATTTAATGCAGTTAAGCCGACACTGAAAGAGAGATTAGATGCAGTTGCTGTGGTAGAAGACAAAGAAGCTGAAGTGTCCTGTACAGTGACCAAGAGCAACCCACTGCCAACGTTCAGTTGGCAGTATGCTTTCAAAAACTTGGAATGTGATATTCAATCTGGTACCTGTGTCCCTAAGGAAGACAAGTGGATTACTGTTCCCAGTCCGCTGGTGTCTCCCAGCAGCTCAACACCAACAAATGAAAGCACTGTAAAAATTGCCAAAGACCAACAAAATGCATTCTACCGTTGCCAAGCATTCAATTCCTTGGGAAATGTTTCGCAAATCTTGAGATTTGTCCGACTTGGTAAGAACATCAGTTGTAAAAACAGTACTTTTTTTGAGGTATTGAATTGTACAAAAGTGTAATAATGTGCTTTATACTAGTACAGACAAGAGAGCAGATTTTCTAGGGCTGACCTGCACCTATTCCAACAAGTTTTGTGATTGGCTGTGAAAACAATAGGGATGGTGACATAACAATGCCCCTATCCCTGAAAACAATAGGTAGTGCGAGTTATAGGGACCAATGAAAGAAGAGGTTTGGATGCGTGCAGGTCAATCCATGTTCTACTCGCAGGTCAAGCTAGATTGCAAATGGACAGATTAATGCTCACCTGAGGACATTTGTAGCTGCATATATTTTATGCACATCTGCTTGGGCTTGGAACTGAGACACCCTATGTGATAACATAAATTGGAAAATGTGTGGTTCCAGGCATATCCATAAAACCGTGCTGAAAAAATAGGCCAAAGTTTTAAAAAAAGTCTTTAAAAAGGTAAGCGTGTTAAGAACTTATGCAGATCTTGGAGGATGTTATCCACCTCAACCTCCAGCCCGGGTGGATAACATCCTCCTTGATCTGCATAATTCTTCATATCTTACCATCCTCATTTTTAAATAATTACATGTATTGCTAATTACCTATGATTGATCAACAGTGAAACCAGATGCCAAGGTTGAGATTGACATTGGCGAAACTAAGACTGAGGTGAACGAGAAGTCTACCTTAGAGGTCTTCTGCATTGACAGGATTGATGGTGACTTGGACCTCCTTTTCTCAAAAGATGGGGAAAAAATAGAACTAAGTGATCCACGTGTCAATGTCACCATTGAAAATCTACCAAAAGAAACTGAAAGGTTGTTTAAACTGACGATAAAGAATGTGACAATGAATGATACAGGAGAGTATGGATGCACCCTTTCTGTTTTGTTTCCAAGGCTCCTTGATGCCATAAATGTTACGGTGAAAGGTGAGCGAGCTAAGAGTGGAGATCATTAAAGTACTTTAACTAACATTTTTATTCGTAGGCCCTCCTATAGGTGCAAAAAATTTTGGTAACTCGTGTGAATTTTCCTGGAAGTCATATTAATAGATTTATGCAGGAAAAAGCTTTGTTATGGTCCCAATTACTTGATTTTTATCAAGCTCTATGATTTCTAATCTCATGGAAAACAATTTTTCGGTTTTGTGCCTAGAGTTCATGGAAAACTGTCTGTCACAATTGTTTGATTCCGTGAAAATTCATGGAAACCCACTCCTACATGTTTTCAATTTTTTTGAGTCATAAATTTTTTCCTGGAGGTGTAATTCATAAACCGTTAATGTGCAATGCCCTTTGAAAACAATTCACGATGGCGGGCAATAGACAAATAATAATTGATACTTAATTATAATTACGTAATTGATGCTGAACATTTAGTTTTTATAATATTTGGTATATAAGCCAAGTCATAACCAAAGAATTGATCTACTACAGTGGAACCCCGTTGATATGGTCACCACGTGTATATTAATAGGTGACCCTATTAACAAGAGTTTTTTGACAAGAAAATGCAGGGTTGTCATTAAGAGCCGGGGGCCTTGGATTTTCCCCGGCTACTAAGAGAGTGGCCCCCGGCTACTTTTATTGGAAAATAGAACAAAAATAGAACCAAAAGAAATCCCTAGCCGTTTGATTCCCCGCCTACTTGTTGTATTTACCCGGCAACTTGAAATCTTAGTGGCAACCCTGAAATGTATGGCCGTTATGCCGGGCGGCTAGGAAAAGTAGCTGTAATAACAAGGTGACCATATTACTGAGGTTGGCCATAAGGCGGCATTGTACTGTAGATAAGAATCTGAGTGGAAAAATACATGTAGTGAATTTCTGCAATTTCTGTACCCAAACATGCGAATGTACACTCAAAGAAAACGTATGGTTTGTTTAATACAGAAGTACATAGTAGAAGATTGAACATCAAACTGTATGCAGCTGTGTTTTGTTGTGTTAATCCGTAATTTCATGTGTTGATGGAGGGAACTTGCAGCTATAGTAGCTGCAGTGGTTTAAGATCAAGAATTTTTGTGGTAGTGGTGTTTCTGCATTTCCGAAGTTGTTGTATGTGCAGATACATACATACAGCAAATGATGGCATTGTCAGTGGTAGCTCTAAATTTGAAGGCAGGTTTCTTTGCCATAGCCATGTACATTTGTATTGGCGTTAATATTTCTCGATTTGTGAAGCCAGATGGTTTGAAGAAGGTTAATTGGCATTGATAATTATTACCAAATAATTTGTGCAAATATTGGGAAAAAAAAGCACACTGCAGAACTTACATCCTTCATCATCATTGACAGCTTTTGTAAGTTTTACAGCTGGTCCTGTTTTTATGGCCGTACTGGTATAATAGACCATAGGTTTTTGACCAATCAGATTGTGCATATCCACCTGTCTCAGTTATCATATAACATAGTATATGAAAATTAAATTTGCCCATTAATAACCATCCATAGTTTCACACCACACCACAACCACAACCAGCTGTACAATAGAGAATTCTATGTCATGTTTTTTTAAAGCAAAACAATGTTAAATTTTTTTGTGTTTTTTTTGTTACTATTAATGTTGTTTCATGTACCGGTAATTGTCATGTTGAATCATGCATTAATTAGCAATTAATGAATGAGGCTGAATAGGATATGAAGAATTAAGCAGATTGAGGTGGATAACACCCTCCGAGATCTGCTTAATTCTTCATATCCTACGAAAGCCAAATTCATTAATTGCTTTATTATTCATTCAAAATAATTCGTAGTTTAAAAACATAGCTAAAACATGCTTACCTGCATTGATGTTAAGTTCATCTTTGATAGTGTACAGTGTACATTTAGTTTTTGTCCAGCTCCGCAAACATTCCCCAAATGGAGATGTTGCCCTCCCAGTTGTCTTCTTGCTGTTTTTGCCATGTTTTTAGCTATTATTTTGCCTAGTTCCAGCTGTGGTTCTTACTCTTGAAACAAGTGAAAATGAAATGTCGGCCATTATTTTTTCACAACCAAAACAACTCAACCTCGTCCCCATTCTTCTAAATTCGGTCATCAGTAACTGGTTATGGTGAATTATGTGTGTGCTTTTAGCCAATCAGAATTAGGGAAATATTTTGAATCAATAATAATATTTATTTATGTCTTCATAGCTCTGAAACCACCAAACATCACCAAAGATATACCTAATGTGACAGTTCTTCAAGAACCTCAGGGTGATAATGTGGAGTTGTTTTGTGATGTTACTGGCAACCCAAAACCTTCCATCACGTGGTACTTCTACAAGGATGGCAAAGGTGTTCGCTGGGAGATCAACAAGCAAGAATATAACCTGGGCGGGAACAAGGATAACTGCAGGAGTCGGACAAAGGGTTATTACTTCTTGCAGCCTGATGATGCTCATGTGCTTGTAATTTGCAATCCAGAATTTGAACTTCACCAAGGAAAGTATTCGTGTCATGCTAAGAATACAGTAGGAGAGCAGAGCAAGTCTGCATTTGTCAATGTGGAGAGTAAGTAGTCAATTGTTAATTAATAGGTACAACAAGCTGGTGTGGTTAACTTTATTAATATTTACTTTAACCACATTAAAAATTTATAAAAATGATAGCAATACTTTATTATGAAATAATAATTATACAGTCGACTTCTGGTAACGCGAGCTTTCAAGTGAAGTATAAATCAGTTATTTGCAAGTTCAAGCTATCGGGAGCTCTAAGCAAAACCTGAATTTGTATTAGTAATTTATACATGTATGGATTTGAAGACTTTGCAATTCCTTGCATCTTACTGATGGCTTGTCCCACACTGAGCTTAGATCAAGCTCTGCTTGCATATTACTTGGTAAATATATTTCTGGTGGTCAAGGCAAATCCAAGTCTCGCATCTAGTAGGATACATGTTTATCTGAATTACTTGTGTTTACGAACAACCTTGCATTCACATGATTACGACAGGGACATCAGATGGACCTTAAACTCAACACCAGGGCCTTTGCTGCTCACATACCATTCACATGAAATTAGGTATGTGTAATCAAATGGTGATGAGTGAAATTAGGGAATAATTTCACGCGCGTTTTGTCCAAATCCTAATAATTTCCCGAGCCTTCAGGCTCGGGAAATTATTAGGATTTGGACAAAAGGCAAGTGAAATTATTCCCTTATTTCACGAGTATACCATTTGATTACCTATNCTAAGAATACAGTAGGAGAGCAGAGCAAGTCTGCATTTGTCAATGTGGAGAGTAAGTAGTCAATTGTTAATTAATAGGTACAACAAGCTGGTGTGGTTAACTTTATTAATATTTACTTTAACCACATTAAAAATTTATAAAAATGATAGCAATACTTTATTATGAAATAATAATTATACAGTCGACTTCTGGTAACGCGAGCTTTCAAGTGAAGTATAAATCAGTTATTTGCAAGTTCAAGCTATCGGGAGCTCTAAGCAAAACCTGAATTTGTATTAGTAATTTATACATGTATGGATTTGAAGACTTTGCAATTCCTTGCATCTTACTGATGGCTTGTCCCACACTGAGCTTAGATCAAGCTCTGCTTGCATATTACTTGGTAAATATATTTCTGGTGGTCAAGGCAAATCCAAGTCTCGCATCTAGTAGGATACATGTTTATCTGAATTACTTGTGTTTACGAACAACCTTGCATTCACATGATTACGACAGGGACATCAGATGGACCTTAAACTCAACACCAGGGCCTTTGCTGCTCACATACCATTCACATGAAATTAGGTATGTGTAATCAAATGGTGATGAGTGAAATTAGGGAATAATTTCACGCGCGTTTTGTCCAAATCCTAATAATTTCCCGAGCCTTCAGGCTCGGGAAATTATTAGGATTTGGACAAAAGGCAAGTGAAATTATTCCCTTATTTCACGAGTATACCATTTGATTACCTATTAATAACATGGGTGACAAATTACGTTAGCAATCTTGGATTTTTAACATGTTTATCCTGGATCGTATCGTTCGAGAACTCCACTCTCTCAAATGTTTAGACCTTAAATTTGGCTTATAAAGTTCAGAATTTTTCAGACTTTTTCGGCAAAAAACCTGTTAGAATCCTTCTTGATGTTCTCCTGTGTGTTCAGATTTTCTAAAGCGTCTTTTTGTGCCCTGACATCTTCATTCATGGCATTTTAAAACTTTGTCGCCATCTTGACACTGAGACGTACGGAGGGGTTGCCATGGCAATTTTGTAATTTCACATATGAAATTACAAATAAACGCTGAAATTTCGCGCCAAAATTAAGGAGTAATTCGTTACCTATGGTATTAATGGTCTAAGAAACGCATCCCAAGAATGTGAACAGATTTTGCTAAAACCCCACTACAGTCGCACCTCCACTGCCACCTCTTCACAACAGCCTCTCTACATTAACGGACTTTCCATACAGTGGAACCCCACCTTACGACCATCTTATTATAATGACCCTATTCTTTCTACCCAAACATTAGAATCACGGAGTCATTTTATTATTTTGAAGACCCCATTAACACCACCACCTCGTTATCACGACCAGGATTTTATGGCCCAATGGTTGTTGCATTAACGGGGTTCTACTGTACATCGTGTCGAGTCTTGTTTAACCCATTGTCGCCCAAGAATTTTTACTGTTTCGAGTGATTTTCTATAAAATAAATCAAGTCAAGGACTAAATATTATTGTCAATGTTGACTTTTGGTTTTGCAATGTTGATTTCTGTAAAAATCCTGAAGGCAAAAAACGTAATTTTTGTCGTTTCTCTATGACTTTAAAGGGTGCTCATTTCTTTTCTTGTCCAAATTCAAAAGGTGATATGTAAAAAGCACTGACTTTTTTGTGTTTATTTGATATCCCAATTTAAAAGACATTATACTCAATGTTCACAACTGACAGTTAAGACAATGTTTGCATGATTGAGAAAGTTGCAATGTTTTAAAGCAGTGTAGTCTTGTACGGCCAGTGTTAGCTGGCACGGCCGTCAGTGGGTTAAACCTCTGTACAACATCCATCTCCTTACAATGACCACTTTCTTCTGTCCCCAAGTGGCCATGGAGGAGAAGTTTAACTGTGTACCAATTACAAATTGTTGCTGGCCACCCTACCAATATGATATTATTGTCAGTGGGCTCACGTTTGCTCGGCGGTAATAAATGTTTCAAAAAAACAGTAGCTGTTTGTTTGTTGTAGTATCTATCTATCTATTTTTCTATCTATCTATCTATCTATCTATCTATCTATCTATCTATCTATCTATCTATCTGTCTGTCTGTCTGTCTGTCTGTCTGTCTGTCTGTCTGTCTGTCTATCTATCTATCCTATCTATCTATCTATCTATCTATCTATCTAATTCAATGTGGAGTAAACATAAAGTTGTTGTTGTCGTTGTTGATTCTTTTTCTTTTTGACAGTGGCACCAGTCATAGTTGAACCTAAGGAAGATGAAGCACCTCTTACACTCAAGATTGGTGATCCACTGAACATAAGCTGTGTGGCGAAAGGGAACCCTGCTCCTAATGTCACATGGTTACATAATAACACAGGAAAGGCGGTCTCACCAACTTCAACCAACTCTCAGCAATTAATCATTAACTCGATAGAAGAGAAGGATTTTGGTTTTTACACCTGCATTGCCAGTAATAAATTGAAACATACAATAGTTTCTGTTGAAACCAAGAAAGGTAAATTTATTTCACATGTTGATACATAGTGCATGCTTGGCTTTGAATGCTGGAGGCCAGGGTTTACTCCGCCTTTCACAAGCATGATCCCTGGCTACTTTCATTTGAAACATAAGGGAAATAGAATGAAATGAAAATCTTAGATGTACAATTCCATGTAACACAACAACAACGCAGCCAGGTTTCAAGGTGTCATTAATACATTATTTTTTGATTGCTGGATGATTGACATCATCAGCTGCCCAATATATTTTTGCTATTGTTATTGGACAACTGACTGAAATCTTTTAAATTTGGTCAGTGTAATCCATACAGTAAAAAAACTTGCATTGTGTTTAGACTTTATATTAATTCTGATCTTGTATGGTTATGGAAAGTTAGTTGGATGATTTCAGGGGCGATACAGGGTCCAAAGAAAGTCTGTTTTATATGTGTATGTACAGCTAGCTCTTCTGACAAGCTTCTAGCTTGCCCCCCAAACAAAAAAGGTTTGATAAGCTTGTTTAATAATTTCTTTACGGCTATTATTAATTACACAATTAGTTAATTACTTGCTTAAAGTTAGTTCATTGTAAAAATAACTGAAATAATTCATTCAAATCGGCTCCCATGTGAATTTATGAGAAGTTCAATTTGCCTTTTCGTACTTCTGTAAGTTGACCTCCCCCACGAAACTTTAATTGTCTTTGGGGTAAGTTAAGATCAAAATTCATTAGCCCCATTGCAAAATCCTGTAGTCAGTGGCCCCGGGCTATTGTACACAACTCTTATTTAACGCTGGGAGAAGGAATGGCTAACTGATAAGAAAACTGGACACCCTTCCCAGGCCCCTAGTTCCAGTGCCTCCCTGATTTGGGTTTGTTCTCGCTAGTTGTGCGGTCAAATCATCGCGCCCATGCTTGTAAAACAGTGGATAGGTTTGCCTCCTGCCAGTTGGATTTTCAGCGTTTTTATGTGGAAAGTTCCATTTGAAGTATTATTTTGTCTCATTATCTCTGAAAAGCCCCATAACAGTTTTTTGTTTTCATTGATGAGAAACATCTTGAAATGAATAATGAATTTTTTCTACTTCTGCAGAGGGATCAGTTAATTATTCTAGTGATGGTGGACTAAGTACTGGTACGCTGGTGGGCATTGCTATTGGTGTGAGTGTGTTTGTTCTCATCGTGCTAGTGGTCTGCTGCTGTCTTTACCATCGGCAGAAGAAGCAGATAGATGAGTATAAGCAGCTTTATTTCCTGCAGACATCATCAGACTACAAGGTATATCCCTCTCTATAACATTGTCCATGTACTTTCACTTTGTTCTCAGGTTTGGCTACTAAGCTTGCGCGCTATTTGGCATGAAACACCGTTTATTGTATTTATTGAACAGTTGTTTTGTATGAAAAAAGTCTTCCTCAAGGAGCCAAATCCCCAAATGTCCTGTGTGCAATTTACCAGTGCCTTTTTTCATGAAAGTCACAGTCGTGTAGAATTTACATGTACCCTCTTTAGCGAAAATGCTTCAATCCTACCACCTACCTACCTACCCACCTTCCTACCCACCTACCCATCAACCTACTTACCCACCTACCTACGTACCCATCTAGCTGCGTGCCCATCAACCTACCTACCCACCTACCTGCCTACCTACCTACTTGCCTACCTACCTACCCACCCACCCGCCAACCTTCCTACCTACCTTCCTACCTGCCCACCCACCATCCTACCTACCTACCTATTTATCTACCTGCCTGCCAATATTTAGCTGGAGCCTTTCACGAGCTGACCACCATTTTTCTTGTAAGACGTGCTCTAGGACATTAACATGCATATTTTGTATCAGCCTTATGCGAGAACAATGTGCCTTGCTTTAGATTGACCCAGATCGCAGTCTGCTGGAACAGTGTAATAATCTACCTTATGACCCAGACTGGGAATTTCCTGAAGAAAGACTCATCCTTGGAAATGTGCTTGGTGCAGGAGCTTTTGGACAAGTTGTTAAAGCAGAAGCCATTGGTATCTTGGCTCTCAATCCTCGAGACAAGAGCGCAGAATCTTTTAAGCGACGCTCAAAAATCCGTCGGTCTTCACGAGCAAAGGACCTGAAAAAGGAAGATGGTGGCTCAGGATGGAAGAATGTTAAAGTCCCTGTCGCAGTCAAAACCTTAAAAGGTTTGTGATTCTTTTTGCGTACTCCTCGAACGAAACAAGGAAAAAACGTAAAATAGGAAAATAGAAAGTGAAAACAGGAAGGTTTTCACCTCCTAGGAGTGGGGATTTTTAACCATGTTGTGTGCCATTTGTTCAGTTACATTATTTGTTTCATTATCCTTGAAGAGCCCCATAGGGGGAGAGAATAATTAAAGTGTTATTATTGTTGTTGTTGTTGTTGTTGTTGTTATTATTATTATTATTATTATTATTATTGTTAAAGAAATTTTGTTTTTGTTGTAGAGGGTGCCACACAGGCAGAGTACAAAGATTTGGCTTCAGAGCTCAAGATACTCATTCATCTTGGACAGCACAAGAACATTATCAATCTTCTTGGAGCCTGTACAAAGGGAAAACGCCTAATGGTGATCATGGAGTTTGCTCCACATGGCAGCTTGCTGAGCTTTCTTAGAGGGAGAAGAGATATATTTGACGCGAGTTGGACTAAAACCATGAACGAGCCAGAGAAGGAGTTCACTTTAGTCGATTTAGTGATGATAGGTTTCCAAGTTGGTCGAGGGATGTCATTTTTGGCGTCCAAAAGGGTAAGAGATGTAACGTAGTAACTAATATTTAACAATTATTCGCCGAAGGCGAAGTTAATATTGTTGAATAATTGTCGAGGGGATTGTTCAACAATATTAACTGAGCCTGAGGTGAATAATTGTTTTAGTATATTCACACGAAGTGATCTCAACAGAATCAAATTTCGCCTTCTTGTTTTCAGTGGATGTTTCCTCAAATGAGGATGATCCACCGGTCTGTGGTTTTAATGTCAGTGCGATTTCTCGTCTCAATAACTTTTTATTTACGCGGTACAGTTTTACAGATCAGTTTTTACAGATCTGTACAGGTGTACAGATCTATGATCTTTTTGTGTGAAGTAAAATGCCTCGATAGAAATTGGCCTTAAGCTACACTGTTTGTGAAATCTTTCCCAGCGGGAGCCCAACAAATAAAATCTGATCGCGCTCCGTGTGTGACCACTTCTCATACCTGAACACTCCCTGTAATCCTCACCGAAACGTCGCTAGCGGCAATGAGCGAGGTGAGACGGTTATATTCGCAGGCTACCCTTGTAAGGGGCCTTATACCGAAAATACAAGGCAAAGCACCATAGTTAGAACCCTTCCCAAAGGACTATCGTTCTTGAACAATCTGACCACATTATAGGATCGTGGTTTCAAGATTTCCGTTGTTTTCATCCTCCAAGTAACGATGTGATACTTGTTCCGATCTTCTACGAGCGTCAGTTGGATAATGCAACTCCGCGGATCCTTAATAAGACGATGAGTTTTCTCCGCACCCCACAACGTTTTTATTCGAACGGTCGCGTCATGTAAATACGAGTAGTTTAATTCACGAAATGGCTTTGCGCGTATTGTAACTTGAGAATCAATTACGCAGATTTGTCAGATCGGCTCTTGGTAGAACTGTATCATAGCCTACCCTGTTCTGGGCCTTCAATAGCGAGCCACTCTCCACGATCTGAGCCCCTGTAAACAGGCTATTATGTTCCCCCTCTCGCATGCGACTGTTCATAATCGACCGAGTCTTGGCACTTTTGGTGCTCCCTGACGGAGGCTCAACTGTATTTAAATTGTTTGTAAACCTTACCTTGAATTGCACTTTTTTGTTCAGTGCGTTCATCGCGACTTGGCTGCAAGAAACATTTTAGTTGGGGATGATTATGTTATGAAGATAGCTGACTTTGGTCTGGCAAGGGACATCTATAAAGATGATCAGTATGTCAAGAATACGCAAGGCTTGCTTCCCGTAAAGTGGATGGCTCCCGAGTCGTTGTTTGATAGAGTTTATACTGAGAAAACTGATGTGTAAGTACAAAAGGTTTTAATTCCATTTTAGTTAATTTTTCCACCGCCATTAATTTTCATAAATTGTGAACATTCGAGAGAAGCCTGCGAACACCCGCTCTGTCTTTAGACCAGCGCTCTACTAACTGAACTACAGTGGAACCTCGATTAAACGAACCTTTATATAACGAAGTCTTCGGTATAACGAGCGATTTGCTTTGCCCAGTAATAGTAAGATATAGCAGAAAGAACCTTGTTATATCAAAACCTCGTTATAGCGAAGAAATTTTGTCAGTCCCTTGGCCCTTCGTTATATCGAGGTTCCGCTTCAATCCTACCCTGGTTGAAAATTTCAAGGAAAAAACAAACAAACAAGCACAGAAACAAATCCTCGCATGAATCGACGAGCAAATGTAAGGATCAATTTTTCGTGAGGACGTAAAAGAATAGTAAAAATCATCTGCTTTTGTTAAAAAAAATTCCTTTTTGGAGCTTTTTTTTGTGTGTGCTTAAAGTCTTACTTAACAATTTTGGGCTGAAAAGACACGTATTAATCCTGGTCATGGTTATTCTTATCAACAGGTGGTCATTTGGAATCCTCTTGTGGGAAACGTTTACCCTTGGGGGTACTCCTTACCCTGGCCTCCCCACAGAGCAGCTTCTGGACTATCTTAGTGGTGGCAAGAGAATGGACATGCCAGCCAAGTGCCCTCTGGAAGTTTACACTGTCATGAGAGATTGCTGGATTCATGAACCTGAACAAAGACCCCATTTTACAACCTTGACAGAAAGACTTGCTAAGATATTGGAGAAGCACACGACAACGGTATGTATTAATATGCCGATGGACTTACCTTACTCCAGGAGGGGGAGGACACTCGCCTCTACGATGAGGCTCCGCCCCGAGGCCAGCCCCGTACCTTTTATATACCTATACCATTTTTGACAGAGAAGGAACCCCGTTCGTATACTTTCTATTGACAAATGGTACACATTCCATATACCTAGTGTAGAATTTTGCATCCCTTTTAACTGCTGTAAATTTCCTCTTCTTTAATAAATGTTTGGTGAATGAATCACATAACCAGAACGTCTTCTTAACTTTTTCACAGATTTTCATACCCGCACGTATACCTGAAACCTGAAAAAGGTGTCCCTTTCGGGTGGAACCGCCCCGCTTATGCCATTGTAGGGAGTACCCTTCCCCCCCCCCTCCTCCTCCCTACTGACTGAATTACTGGTAGAATGACTGTCTAAACGACGGATGGACTGACTGACTGAACGACTGACTAAATGACTGACTGGCTGACTGACTGAATGACTGTCTGATTGACTGACCGACTTAACAAATGGCTGACTGACTGAACGTCTGACTGAGGGCCTCCTCAAATGAGCCCGGTTGGCGCGGTGTCCGAGATCTCGCCTTACCTCTAAATCCTTTGTAAAATTTTCGATGTGTCCATATAAGAGGGCGGGCTGGCTTGGTTCCCGAGATCTCAGTAAGCTAGCCTGCGAACCGCAGACGTATTTCCGGTCGTCGCTTCTCGGTGAAACTAAAGCAGAAAAAAACGGATGCTCTCGCAGGCTATCGGTAAGCGGGCTGGAAATTTTGCCATATGAACACTTAATCCCGGTTACCGGGATGAACGGCAGAATGAATTCTGGCGGTCCGGAGGGCATCGTCCTGCCTTGCGTGTTATATTTTCCACATCATAAGCATCCCATTTAACTGCAGTGTGCAGTGATACAGCTTTAAGAGTTACCGCAGCGTGCAAAGAAAGTGGTGTCCGATAGCCCATGGCTAGTGGATTTTACTATCAGGCTAGTGAATTCTGTTTTCAACTTGCCCGACGGGCAAGTGATGTTTTTTGAGGAATTCGAATAACAGAGGGACCGTTAAATCAGTTCTGCTCGTCGAAAAGCTTTTGGGGCTAGTTGAAATGACGTCTGGGCTAGTATTCACTAGCTTCAGCTTGCCCGAATGGCAAACTGTAAAAATGATTTTCTTTGCACCCTGTACCGAAGCTATGGTAGGCCCGAAAGTTAATATTATTGTGTTTCGCCATGTTTGCTTTGTTTCCCGAATTTGGCGCCAGAACACTCATCCCCAGGATCTTTGACCTTTTCTCATCTCGGAAACCGGACGGAAATTTCTCATATGAACCCAAGGTGAAATTCGCCCCGGTAACCTCCCTAGCTGAATAACTGACTGACTGAACGCACTGACTGAGTGACTGACTGACTTACCGACGCTGTTAAGTTTACCTGCCAAAATCAATATTGGTTTATGTAGAATGCAAACAGCTTCCCTTGCTCCTTAAGAATTCAGAACTTAGAGAAGCATCAGTTGCACTATCAGCAACTTATACGGCAACAATAAGAGCACAGGACCGTCTTTGTATAACCCTTCAAACTTCCTAACGCCAACCTTTGCAACGACTGCTGGACTTGCTGTGCCACAGTGGTTCCTCTCTTGATTTTTTTTGTTTGTTTGTCGTACAGGATAACCCTTATTTAGCACTCCAAATGGACGAGGACGTTCAACCTAGCTCAGGTTACTATCTTCAGCCAGTTGATAATGCAGGTGTTCGGGATTCCAAACGATACGTGCAATCCCCACTGCAGTCTCCCACAAGTGACACAGAAGAACCCCCACAATTTGGAGACTTGGAAGGAGATGGAAAGAGGTGTGTTTTCTATGCTATACCACTACATGAGAAATTTCTGCAATTTGATTGGCTTAGAGTAGTGGTATTTCAGCATAGTTTGAAATACCACTGAAAATTACAAACCTTTTGCGGGTAGTAGTATAAACAAATAATAGCATAATTTGTACGTGATATTTGGCATAAATACCACTCGTGATATTTCAAAATTGTCTCAAATTTCACTCGCCTACCGGCTCGTGAAATTACGTATAACAATTTTGAAATATCACTCGTGGTATTTATGCCAAATACCACTACTAATCATGCTATTACCTATGCATATGTCTGTTTTTAACTATTTATCAGCACAATTCGCGTTTTTCGTGTGTCTCTCGGGATAATAGAGTCCTCTTCCCGTAATATCGCAAACCGTCGACTGCAGTTTACGGTTGGGTGTCCGCCGTTTAACCCTTTAAGCCCTAAGAGTGATCAGCGTTAAATTTCTCCTTGGAATATCACTGCTTTATAAAACAGGGTGGTCATGAGAATTAAGGACATGATCACACAGAAATCGATACTTCAACAAAATCTCCCCACTTCTTCTGTTTAAAACGCACAGCATATTTCTGTTTTTTAACTATTTATCAGCACAATTCGCGTTTTTCGTGTGTCTCTCGGGATAATAGAGTCCTCTTCCCGTAATATCGCAAACCGTCGACTGCAGTTTACGGTTGGGTGTCCGCCGTTTAACCCTTTAAGCCCTAAGAGTGATCAGCGTCAAATTTCTCCTTGGAATATCACTGCTTTATAAAACAGGGTGGTCATGAGAATTAAGGACATGATCACACAGAAATCGATACTTCAACAAAATCTCCCCACTTCTTCTGTTTAAAACGCACAGCATATTTCTGTTTTTTAACTATTTATCAGCACAATTCGCGTTTTTCGTGTGTCTCTCGGGATAATAGAGTCCTCTTCCCGTAATATCGCAAACCGTCGACTGCAGTTTACGGTTGGGTGTCCGCCGTTTAACCCTTTAAGCCCTAAGAGTGATCAGCGTCAAATTTCTCCTTGGAATATCACTGCTTTATAAAACAGGGTGGTCATGAGAATTAAGGACATGATCACACAGAAATCGATACTTCAACAAATTCTTCCCACTTCTTCTGTTTAAAACGCACAGGAATAACAAATGAGAATTTGAATTTTGATGTTAGGGTTTAAAGGGTTAAGGTTTGTGTGAATTTCAGCTTTAGATTATCGTTTCTAGTCTAGTCTGGGTTGGATTATATTATCCTCTGATTCAAATTTTAAAACGTATATAATCGTCTTAACTGCAGTGTAGTTTAATGAATTTACAGCCGAACGAACGGTAACTTTGGTAAACCTAGGGGAGGGGCCCGTGGGAAACGGGCCTTTACGTTATATTTAGGCAAAACTGAACCCGCAGGGATGAGAAAGGATGTGTTGGATGAGCGCCGCCCCCATCCCTTCACCGCACCCCACCCCATCACTTTCTTGTGAGATCTAAATCTGTCACTGGTTAAAAATTGTACATATCCTCATTTCAGGTATGATTCTCCATTGCCCACTTTGCCACCAGGCCTGCCGGCCTTGAGCGACGATGAAATCCCTAAGGAACCCCTGCCTCCCCTCCCCCCTCCCTACGAAAACGACACCATGGACAAAGCGAGGTTCCCTGAAAGGGCAGACAGCGCTGGAGGGGAGAGTGGTATTGACATGGACGGAGCAGATGATGGTTATGTGGAAGATATACGAGCTGATACGCCATTCCTCCCTCCTCCTGGCAATAAGCCGGTCGCTATTGACATGGAGAATGCACCTGAACCAAAAGTGCTTTTTAAGGGCAACAGGAACAAGATCGAGACTTCACTGTGAGTTTTGAAAGTCCGATATAGTCCCAGTGTTGACGGCAGTGCTGGAACTCCCATGGTGCTCTAAAGACGACTGTAGGGGAACGACGCTACTTGTCAAGGGATTTTTCATTCGGCCGTCAGGATAGACGGAATTATTACTAACAGGAAAATTAAAAGGAAATGTGCATTGGACAACGCGAAACGCAAAAGTAGTTAACTTATTCAGGATAAGCAATGCATAATTCAGCACAGTAATGCATAATATGAATGTATATCGAAGGGGCGAGGCAAGGCACTAACTAGGCGAGGTAATTAGATAAGCGGGGGATTACTGGGGACAAGAAAAAATGGCCGGCGCGTCCCCCGTAACATTCCCAGAGGTCTTTACAAAAGCTAACTCGCCCCAGTTTCCCTCTCGTTTCTTAAGTGACGAATTGATCCGCAAATTATTACCGACGTTAGTCAGAGCAAAACGCACAAGTTGAGGGTCCAATTTATCCAAATTATAATTTCGAGTTGTACCACTATTTACCACTCTTTCTACCGCTCCCTATCTAGTGTCTGGGCTTCTGTATATACAATTTCCCGTCTTGTTGACGAGTATGATACTGTTAACTTGTTTTAAAATATTTAAGGTTTAAAGACTGGCGTGGGTGTTTTACTTGTAAATAATCGCTCGCATTGACTGTAGAATTTTTAGTATTCCCAACTGAGACCTTTGAATAGCAAAAGCAACTATTTTTACCCTAACAACAATGTAAGGAGCAACA